AGACGGCGGCCGGCCGGGCGCCCAGCGGCAGCCCCAGGGGCCGGATGGGGCTGACGAAGCCGGTCTGCACGGCCTGGTCGCGGCGAGCCGGGCCCCGCCGGCCCTGCTTACCCTCCTCCAGCGCCTGCTGCAGCTGCTTCTCCAGCAGCCGGTTCCGGCGCTCCAGCTCGTGCACCTTGGCCAGGAAGCAGCGGAACCGGAGGTTCAGGGTCTTGAGCACGTTGATGTTGGAGCCCAGGTCGTTGCGGAGTGCCATGGCTGCGGGGGGCGCCGGGCCCGGTCCCGGCGGCGAGTAGGCGGCGGGGCTGGCCGGGGCGAGCGGCGCCGGGGCCAAGTCCCCACCCCCGGCGAACTGGTCGCCTCCCAGAGGGTCCCCCACAGGCGCGGTCAGGCCCTGCTGCTCTTGCTGCAGGAGGAAGAGGTTGGGGCCGAATAACGGATTCATGGCTGCGCCTTCTGCTGGGAGATGGAGACCGGTGCAGGAACAGGGATGGAGGGCGAGCGGGAAGAGCCAATGAGGCGCCCGCGGGACACGGTCGGCCAATCAGACGGCCCGGCGCAGGGACAGCGGCCGGGGGCGGGCCGAGAGGAGGCGGGCGCGAGGACCCGGTTGGAGGCTGGGCCCTGCACCTTTCCGGGTCTGAGGCCGCCGGCGCAGGAGGGAGGGCCTGAAGCCATCCAGGGCGGCATTAAAACCCAGCACCTCCAGTACGCCACCGGCTCTGGGGCGGAAAGCCCATCTTCCCTACACCTCCACTAATTACGCTGCCCTTCCCAGAGTCCAAACACCCTAGCTCTGACCCCTCGGCCCTCGTTCCGAGGAGACCCAGTGATCTCAGGAGCCTGAAAACAGCCGGATTTCTCAGTAGTACGACTCTTCCTCTACAGAGGACTCCAGTCCCACCTTCCCACCTCTACCCTTACAGCAGCAAAGACAATACCTGGTTCCCACAAAAAAAAAAAAAAAAAAAAAAAAAAACCACAATGGCCAGAGGTTGTAAAACGTGTATTAAATTTCATGTGTATGCAGTGGGGAAGCAATCCTCGCAGAGGTAAGACTTCCAACCCAGTGACAATGTCAGTGAGCCACCCCAGTCTACTTTTCATCCACCCATCTAAGACAAAAGTGGCTGGCTGTTGCCCCTGGACTGAGATTTCCTCCTTTTTGCTGGTGGGGGCCGGCTGGAACTGAGGGGGGACACAGTGGGAATCTGAGGTCCCTTCGGGGTGCCATTCTGCTTCTGAAAGGCAGCTTTCTGGAAAGGCTGCTTTGGCAACTGCTGCTTTACCTTCTCTGCCCCTTTGGCCTTCCCAAGGGGCTGATCACAGTCCTTAGGCATGGGGGTGGCCTGGGAATTGGAGATGGACAGCACAGCAGTTGTTCCTGTGTCTGTGCCCTTGGGAGGGGCATTCTGCTTCAGGAAGGCAACTTTCTTGGAGGACTGCAATTTAGATGACTGTGGCTTTAGCTTCCCAGTCACCTTTGGTTCCCCAATCACTTCAGCTTTTTCAGCTGGTTGAGTGCTACCCTGGCACTTAGAGGAAGCTTGGGCCTTTGTGATAGAAGGTATAGTGGACAATTCTGAGTCTGCCCCTTTGGAGATGCCATTCAGCTTCTGGAAAGAGGCCTTCTTGGGATGTTGCTGTTTTTTCTGCAATTGCTGCTTGGCCTTTGCAGCCCCTTTGGCCTTCTTAGCGGACTGGCTGCTGTTCTCAGATGTGAGGATGACCTGACCCTTCAGGTCATGCAAGTCTAGGTTTGTAGGGGTGGCTGTTGCAGAATTTCCTGGGATTAAAATTAAACACATAGTTTAAGAAAATGGGCCACATCAATAAATGGTCTTGGATCTTAGTGGAGGAGACAAGCAGAGGTTACTGAAACATGGGAATTGTCATCTGTTGGCCAAGTGTTCCACCAGTACGGACAGTACCTAAGAGCAGATTACCTAGATTCATATTCCTTATTATCACCTGGCCTTTACTCAAATCTTATCTGAACTGTGTACTGAGAAAGGATCACAGCCTATCCTTGGGCCCAAAATGATTTTACAGGAAGCTACACCCCTGTGCAGATAGCACGTAACAAGACACTCTAAGGAAGAGGTGGGTCCCAGGGTCTTCTGAATAAACTTGAAGCACTGAGCTTTATTTTTTGTAATCAGAAAAGACTTTTTATCCACATGAATTTTGACAAAATGAAGGAAAATAAAGCACATTCTCAACAACTAGAAACAAGCTAATAAGATATCAGTGATGACCAACATATCAAATATGTACTTAAGTTACAGCAAACTTTGCTACTTAAGTTTTCTTGTTCTACATTAACACGCAGATGTGACTTTTGTAAGGAGCATCATTTAGAAAGAAAAAACGTCAAATCAAAATGTTAAATCATGCAGTTTGTATTCAGAGAAGCTCTTTTCTCCCTCTTCCAACTAAACCCAGGATTATGTCCAAGCATGCAGAGCTCTCAAGCCTGTTTCAGAAAACCCCACCCTTCCCCTTAACAACCAGGACAGACTCCAAGATGGTTGAGAAAACGATCTGCAATTCCTGTGATGGGCTCAGAGAACTGCTGATAGTTCTGTGGAGCCCTGTGCCAACCCAGTGCCAAGAATGCTGGGGCAGCAGAGGTATATTATCAACCCTGGGCCAAGAAGGAAAAGAAACCACAACCCACATTTGGAATGCATTTAATGCAGAACAACTGCAGCCACTAGACAGAACAAAGGAAAAGGCCCCTGTCCGTGTGAACACTTTAACCTATTCAAATAGAGTCCAGGGCTCAAGAACAATCCTAGTTGGGATGAAAGGAGTCTCTCATACAAGCATGCAAAAAAGGGCCTTCAAAAAGATCATGGAGGGCCGACCCTGTGGCTCACTCAGGAGACTGTGGCGCTGGGAGCGCCGAGGCCGCGGGTTCGGATCCTATATAGGGATGGCTGGGTGTGGTGCGGGCAACACCAAGCCAAGGGTTGCGATCCCCTTACTAGTCAAAAAAAAAAAAAAAAAAAAAAAAAGTTCATGGAAAGATTTTTTTTTTTTTGTGACTGGTAAGG